GCATGGCTGATAAAGCTAGCTTAGAAGAGTCAATGAGCTAAAGTCCCACGTGGCTGTTTGCTGAAAGCCCTTCCGAGAAGGCGACTTTGTCTGTGCTGGAACGCAAATATCAATATAATGAGTGACAGTGAGTCCACGCACGACACACCCTCTCCACATGAAGACTTAAACACCTATAAGTCTTTCAAAAGATTTCTCGGGGACGTCATTACATTTAGTGGGACCCATCCTACGCAAGCTTACCGAAAAGAAAATGCCATGGGGAAATTGCCCAGAAACAGAAAAAAAATCTGGAGAGGTGATGCGATTTGATGGAAGAAGTATGTGAACGGGTTTCTGATTTGAAAAAAATACGATTGAAACAAACAATTCAGAAAAGCCTATGCTTTTTTAATGCGAAGCATTTATTGCAAACTTTAGCGACATTTCCATCCATCCATCTATCTATCTATCTATCTATCTATCTATCTATCTATCTATCTATCTATCTATCTATCTATCTATCTATCTATCTATCTATCTATCTATCTATCTATCTATCTATCTATCTATCTATCTATCTATCTATCTATCTATCTATCTATCTATCTATCTATCTATCTATCTATCTATCTATCTATCTATCTATCTATCTATCTATCTATCTATCTGTCTATCTATCTATCTATCTATCTATCTATCTATCTATCTATCTATCTATCTGCCTACGTTTTTTAGCTCTCCCTGCCGTTTCGATAATGAAATTTATACCAAAATCAGTGTGGTATAACATGACTCCATGACGAGCATAAGTGACTAGTTATAACACGAAAATCATGACCTGTATACCATGAATGCCCTTATTTACATGCCACGCTCTTGATGCTCTTCTGGTGGTTTCATTGACCTAACATTGCAAAGCCTGTATGGTATGGTATTAATGCATGTCGAACATAAGTGACAGGCCTTAACGTTGAAATCATGACATGAATGTCATGTAAGTTATGACTATACGCCACGCTCATGCTGTCCTCGCGATCGTTTCGCTAGCTTCTCATATACCAAATCTAGTATTACGTGACGTGAATGAATGACCATGGTAAACGGCACATCCTAACATAACAATCATCCCATAACAATCATATATCCACAAACATATAAACACATGCCGGATCACAAATAAAGCAAACATAGAACCAGAAGGAAGGTTGTTTTCCAGGACGTTGCATACATATGTTCAATATTAAAATCCTGCTTATGTGAGAACAGGCTTCCATCGACCTATTAGGTGCGAAGGAGCTCTTTGACTCACGTGTGAAACATCGTGCGTACGTACGTCTGTACAAACACGCGATAACGCATTTCCCTTGCCGCAGGTGTTGAAGCGGTGCCAAGTAGGTCATTTCACAGCTCAGCGTTGACTTCATGCTCCCCTCACCCGCAGCACGCTCGCCGCAGCACGCTCGCCGCAACACCCACAGCTGCCGGCTCCACCGCCCACTCGCAACACACTTCTTTCTCGTTTCACCTTCTCCACCACACGCAACGCTCGACCTCACGTCAAGTGGAAACATTCTTTCGGCTCGTGGATCTGCGATGAAACTTACACGATATCCAACCAGCCACCCGTGCCTTTGCGTTTCAAATAAGCGTTTACTTGAGTAAACTCTTCACCAAGTTTCGCCTCAAACCGTTCTTCCAGCACCCACGTCAACACCCGTCTCAACCCGGTCAATGCCTTGTGCACTGCTGCTGCTTCGCATCCCATTAGGATTCCCTTCGGAGAGATGATCCATGATTTCTTATCTCATTCTTTTTCGTGAACTTGATTATGAGCTAGGAGCTATGGGCTCCTTTGTTATATGAGCCACAGGTTCCCTGGAGCCCAAGGCTCACAGAAGATTGTGTTTTCTTTATTAAAAGACATGAGCAATATTTTAATAGTGAAAGGAGTCTCTCGCCTCCGGGGTGGTATCAGGAAGGGGAAAGTGAGGAAGCGGGCATTGAAACCGAGTGGTGGCATGCTCACACTGTTTTTGAGCCTGCAGGGGTGACCTCTCTAAGGAACGCAGGGTGCTAGTGCCTGTTTTGGGTTATCAGGAAGCCCCCGAGCGCATCTTGGGTGATGCTTGGCTCAGCTACCCCGCCCAAGTGGCGCCCGGGGCACTTGTACCTCTTTGCCCCACCATTGTTCCGTGCGCCACTTAAAAGATAGCACGTTAGTAAGAATGTCACTAAGGAATGCATTACGCCAGCAGATAGCTAGAATATGAAACAAAGCGTTGGACTGGACTAGGGGGTAAATTAACAGATTGTGCATTGAGCCGGTTGGTGCCAGCTTGTCCGGTCGTTTTCTTCTCACTGTGTTTTGTGTTTCCTCTTGGTTTTTATCCAAATGAAGTACAATAGTGAAAGTCAATGCAAGTATATATCCCGTAAACCTATAGACTGTGTGGGCACAGACTATGAATCACAAAATTTGCCCCCACCTCCCCGAAGGGATTCGTGAGGAAATGCGAATGCGTTGCGCAGCGTTCATAACGGCGTTTCGCACGTGAGAACCCCGTGTTAGAGGAATGACGTTTTTTTTTCTTACACAATGCAGCCAATAGTGCCGTTCGCCGCATGTGGTGTTTTTCTGTCGCGAGAAACGCGGTATGCGTTTCCAGCTCTAGTAGCTATTGAGCGTGTTAAAAAGTACTATGAAGTGAACAAAACAAACAACGTTTTTTCGGCTTGGCACTGGCGTTTGACAGGGGCGTCTTAAGCACACAGTTCTAGATGTTCTTGAAAGGTGCCCAGCCAGCGAACGGTCGAAAGTGAGGCGCGAGCAGACGGGAATGTGGGGCGCAGGGAGGAGAGAGACAGCAAACGGCGAGAGGAGCGGCGAAGCGCTGCACCTACCCTTCCTACGCTTGCTCGCACCACATGCTCCGCATGATAGGGGCGAGGATAAGCGCACACGCCCGCAGCTCTTGCTATCGGAGAGGGAGTGAGAGCGGACAGATAACTCCTGCTGGGGCGTGGACACCGCTTCGGACTCCACGGACAACGCCGGATGCCCGACGTAGCCCGACTAAGAATTGGATTCGCATTTAAAATGTTGCTGCCAGCACTGTTGCTGCTCTACACGTGTCCAGTTATACGATGTAGTGTAAACGGGAATATGTGTGCGGCCAAGGTAAAACTTGACATCAGCATTTCCGCCATTGTGCGAAGGCTTCTTATTGAAGTTCTTCTACCTATGTTGCAACCTAGCTGGACAACAGGCTGAGCAGCGACTGCCAACATTTATAGAAGCGACAAAAAGAAAATACTTTATACACTGTGCCGAAGACAGCACAGTGTATAATGTGCGGTCGTGTTAAAAGAACGCTGATACAAAAGTTTTACATACATATATTTTTTTTCAATTGGTAGCTAACGACCCGCTTATTACAACAGGAAAGCTCGTTTTCTCGAGCGCACGGTGGTTCATTATTTGCAGGCGGTTTTAGAGAGCGCAGTCACAGTTTATGTTTCGAACTTCACGGAGTAAGAAGAGAACCCAGGGTGGTTTTCGTGCAAACATAGTGAGTACGTGGGCACGCTAAACCACGTGCACGAGCGCTTCGTTAATAACTCTCTTGAACGAGGGCTTTGTGGGTGCTGCTATAGTTTTTTCTGTGGCGTTGTAAATATTTGTGACACCCCTCCTCCGTGCCCAAATGCACTGCAGCAACAAGAACATCAGCCCTTGTACTTTCGTGCAAGCCTGTCCCGTCTTTCCGTTGAAAAGGTGTGCTAAGAGAGAGCGCCCACAAGAGTCGTTGCAGCCAACAAAACCTCGTGGTGCAGGATGCGGTTGGTTGTTCACTCGAAAACTGAAGGCCCGTTTTGCGTGCAGTGGCGTGGCAAGCACTTTGAATGATGATTTTGAATATGTTCTAGGCTAAATAATTCATTGCATTACGTAGACGATGCGTATTTATTTACACAAATATAAGCCACAAGTTATCTCGCCTTGGAAATTTGTCAGTACTCCTTCAAGCAGTCAAAAGAATCTCACTTAGCTGTTTTGGAATGAAACTAACATAATTTGGAAAAGAACTGCAAAACTTACGAGATAGACATACACATTTTATTGTCAAGAAACATGGTCAAAGTTCAGAAATTTTTAAGAAGATGGTGTTGTGCTTAGGTGTTTGCTGTTACAATATATATATATATATATATATATATATATATATATATATATATATATATATATATATATATATATATATATATATATATATATATATATATATATATATTACAGAACTGCACAGTTTAGCGATTGTCTTAATTTTATTACCAACGGTTTCGACTGGTGGCCCAGTCTTCGTAAGGGTTTGCGAACAAGTCACACTGTTCGCAAACAAGCCACCTTTGTTCGGAAACCCTGACGAAGACCAGTCCACCGGTCCAAACTGTTGGTAATAAAATTAAGACAACCGCTAAGTTGTGTTTCTTCTCTTCTATATATCTAACAAATTTTCGAATGCATCGAAATATATTAGGACACAATTAAAAAGTGATTGTGGTAGTATCTTTCACTCGTATTCCTAATAGTTTTCGCGCAAGTATCTTGTATTGTATCGCAGTAGAGCTTTAACGTATATATTTGCTCAGCTCTGCTCATCAGTGTTGTCATCATACATATTGGGGGGGGGAGCGGCTTAATTAAAGGAGGATCGTCTATGTTAGCCACCATACGTTTCTCAAACTTTGATGATGGGTACGATTCTCAAAGTCGGCTTGTGTCCATATAGTTGCTTTCACAATAAAAATATCGCGGAGATACGAAGAAATGGACAGATGGTGTGAAGAGCTGAAGCGTTATAGGTTGAGGAAAGAACAACATTTTTATGCTGTTTCTTTGCGCTCATACTGATCCGTCCAACCGGCAACATGACAAAGTGTGGACTGTTTAGATTGAAGTGGTTTGTTGGTGAAATCTGCTCTGGGCGGGCACTAACCTGCGAATACTCGGCACTGACCTATGTAAACCTTGAGGTCGTAGGAGACGCCCAGGGGGCTTCCCTGGTACGGCCTTGCCGGGTGCAGGCGCACCGAAGGCGGTGCCTGCGGCGAGATGCGGAGCGTCAACGGGTAAGCGTCGTTGCCCAGCTTCTTGAGCAGGTTACGCTGCAACGGCGTCAGCTCATCTTCGGTCGTCTCGGTGCCACCACTGGCGCAGCCCAGCGCGCGGGCCGCCACGCTGCCATCGGTGCCGCCCGTGGCGCCACTTGCATTGCCACTCGTCGACGTGGTGGTTGGCTCAGGATAGACCTGCGATACGTGCATACACTTCAGAAAACACTCCAAGATGAAAGAATATGACAGAACAATGGCACACAAGCTATATAAGTCAGTGGATGGGACTTACTCCTCATCGAACCAACTATCAACCAATGCCACAATTAACTACAGCCGTGGCCTCTTGGCCCTCTGAGCTAACAGGTCTCTACGGACAACGCGAATATCAACGTAAGCGCCAACGATTGTCGGCCCGACTAGTTTAGAGTATAGCATAAAGCAAACGCTTTCTCTCGATGCGGTGCTTGCACGTGCTTATTAAAGAGGAAGCCTTTGAAGACTCATACTCGGGTCCATCTGCTCATCTGTCCGTGTTCTAAAATGGTGCCAGCTGTAGAGTCTTACCATTACGCTCTCTCTGCAATGACGTGATTGTTGACAAAGTGAATAATAATAATAATAATAATAATAATAATAATAATAATAATAATAATAATAATAATAATAATAATAATAATAATAATAATAATAATAATGATAATAATAATAAATAACATTTCTTATTATTAATAATAATATTATTATTATTATACACATGACATTCATACCCAGCAGAATGGCCTAAGGCTTTCGTCGAACAAAGTTTTGAATTTATGAAGGCTCCTTGAATTTCTTTAGTGACTAGCACACGAGTTTTATTCTGCGTCTACCACGGGAAAACCTGATTCTCCCCACGTATTTATGCATCTCAAGGGGTCATCACGAAACTGAAGCGATAACTAGAAAATAGCTATTATTGTTAGCGGCATCACAATCAGCATTTACAACTTTTGTCCTCGGGAGTGCGTTCACGGTCCGTACTGAATCCAGGTAGTAACCTCTAAGTACAGTCTACGTGAGTATTGTTTTAAATGTGATAGAAACAACAGTTTGCTAATAAAGAGCGAATAACATCATAACAAAGACAAAATAATCACATTTCCTTAACCGCTTATAAATAATTTGTCTTCAGTTGAGAAACTATCCACGTCTCGACTTATGCGCGACATTGCCGTTCTTGCATCTAAATAAGTTGCAGCTATATAGAACCTATATAGCTGCAAGCAGCCATATATGTTCGCGTATCCGACGAGCCTGCCCAACGCGTGTGCGCACAGCAGCTCAGTGTCGGCGTAAAAATCTGTCAAATGCTCGCTGACATCTCGCAATATGTGTCACACCCGCTTTTAGAACTGTTGCCCATCCTCGTCGGTTACAAGTGGAGATGAACAGCACAATGATGCGTAATAAGGGGACAATAATTCCTTGTCCTTGGAAAATGTTCAAAAACAATTTCGCTAGAGGGCATGCAGCGAAACTTGTGGTGTCCTCCTTTCTCTAGCTTAGCATGCAAGAACACATCCCACGGTAGTATTGCATCTCGCCATGGAATGCGGCCCCCACCTCTCTTGCACTGCGTTCCATGGGACGAGGGTGCGGAAGCGTCGCTCGGGAACTGAACGAGCCGTACGGGTTGGAATGCGATTACACTAGTGTCATTATACACCGGCTTCCCGACTACGATATAGCACAGTCGTCGCGAGCGGTAGCCCGTTGTGTGCTGCTCTATATTGCATGGCTTGGGAATACGAGATAGCGTGCATCACACCACAATGACTGCCATTTTTGGCCCAACTGCACCTTCACTGTTTATGAGGTAGTTATAGTCTCACTGGCATCTGGGTGCGCCCCAATGATGGCGGCCGACACCATGTCTAATAGCGAACAAAGAAATAGCGGCACTGACACGAGAAAAAAAAATAAAACGCGTTGAGAGTTACGCCATTAAATATTCAATAGTAAAGTTAATTTTTTCTGGGACATTATGGGGCAGTCACAAGAAAAAGACAAGTTTTTAACTGTCTAGGAATATACACTTTAGACAACAAAGCCAGGCTTAAAAAACACCAGTCACCAGTGAAAGCAAATGTCAGATTCGTAATAAAGAGAGAAGAGCCCGTTTCCTTTTACCTTATCGCTTACAGTGACTAAACTATAGCACAGACATGAAGGCAGCGAAATGGGCAATGCTCCGCAATCATTGAGTGTTCTGTCAAATGAAAAACTGCTACGAGCAGACTGCTGGGTACCCACTACGCTATAAATAATCGCAATTTTTGTGTACTATATATATATATATATATATATATATATATATATATATATATATATATATATATATATATATATATATATATATATTCACACGTGTTTATATGAAAAAGAACGATGATAGGAACGTTTTGTAGATTCCAGCTAGTGGGTCAGGTGGTTGATCGGGACGACAACGAAGCAGGCATCTTGCTGTACAGCTGATCCTGAATACGCTCTTTTCGCTGCCGTAAGCTGCTGTCATCTGTTCGCGTTGCACTGAGACACTGGTGGAGGAGCTGGGCCGTGACGCTGCCCGATGCTTCACACTCCTAGTGGGAGCCGTTCAACCAGCCCGGACGTGCCCACTGCAACCCCTGTCCATCGATTCAGTCGTCGGATACGAGGTATTCCTCCAGACTGCAACCCCTCGCAAAAAACCTCTACCAGACATCTCGAAATGGCCAGCACCAGCCCCCAGCCTGTACTTCTCGGCACCAGTCCTCCCGCTTCATCCCAGGTAACGTTTTTTCAATCGCTGGAGCCTAAGCGCTTTGGTGGTGGCGCACACGAAGATGTAGAAGACTGGTTAGACCACTATGACCGTGTTGCGAAGATCAACCACTGGTCTGCTCAGGAAAAGCTCGGCCGGGCAAACTTCTATCTCGATGACAGTGCTCGTACTTGGTACGAGAACAGAAAAAGCAACCTGTCCACATGGACTGACTTTCACCAGAAGATGGTTGAAACTTTTGCCAATGTCGACAGACGGGACCGCGCCCACCAACTACTAGAGCTGAGGATCCAAAAACCCAATGAAACGGTCGCCATGTTCGCCGAAGACATGACACGTTTATTTCGGAGGGCTGACCCGCAGATGACTGAAGATAGGAAGTTGCGCTACCTCATGCGTGGCGTGAAAGAGCAGCTGTTCGCCGGACTTTTGCGCAACCCGCCAGGCACTGTAGAGAACTTCATCAAAGAAGCGTCGGCTATCGAGCGGGCCCTTCACCAACGCTGCCGACAATATGACCGCTTGTGCAGCAGCCCCCAAACTCAGGCCGCCGCTGTGACGTTTGACAACCATAGCTCCTTACGGGACACGATTAGAGAGATTGTTCGTGAATAATTGCAAAGGCTGCGGACTCCGGTAGTGGATACACCCATGGCATCTGTCGCTGAAGTCGTCCGTGACGAAATCCGCCAAGCATTCTCGACAGCTGATCCTGCCCCCGAACAACGTCTCATGACGTACGCCGCCGCCCTTCGAAGCTCCCCACCCGCTCCACCTTCATACTACCCGCCACCTGCAACTGTTCCTTGGTCACCACCACAAGGGGAGACATCGTGGCGCCCATCCATCCAGCCCCCATACGACCAGTCGTCTTCTGGCTTGCCATGGCCTTCGTCGCGTGAGGAGTCATCACGGCAACCACAGCTTCGCCGAACAGACACCTGGTGCACTGCCGACAGGCGTCCACTTTGTTTCAACTGCGGAGGTGTAGGCCACATAGCCCGCTATTGCTGGCACCGCGCCGATCCGTCTCGCCCTTTCAGGCCACGGTATGACACTCGACATGCCAACCAGTACGTATCCCGCCATGGAGATGTCGGTTCTCAAGGACCTCCGGTACCCCGACACCCATTCGACGGCCGCCGTAACAATGATGACGAGGCTATAACTGATTACGAGCCGGTCTTCCGACATCGACCACGCTCTCCTTCTCCTGCCCAGTCACCTTCGTTGCAGCGCCGCACTTTTGCCGACACCAGAGGAGCGAGGTCACCCAGCCCACACCGGGGAAACTGAAGGCGGCGACCTCAGGGGGTAAGGTTGCAGGCTGTCAAGACGAAGAAAAAAAGCCCCCATTACTCCCACCTCAGGACGCTGTAAAGCCGACAAGACGTAATACCGACGAAACTGTGACCCCAGGCCTTACCGTTCTTGTGGATGGACAGCAAGTCAAAGCTTTAGTCGACACCGGGGCTGACTTCTCTATTATCAGTGATGAACTTGCCGTACGCCTCAAGAAAGTAAAGACAGCGTGGACGGGACCTCACTTAAGGACGGCAGGCGGCCAATTACTGATGCCTGTCGGAATGTGCGCAGCAAGGCTCGACATCGGTGGCTCTGCTTTCGTGGCGACGTTCGTCGTTCTCGCTTCATGCTGTAAAGACATGATTATCGGAATGGATTTCTTGAGAGAACATGGCGCCGTGATCGACATCCCTGACAGTGTAATTACATTTCACAACAACAGCCCTACTTTAGTCGATTGTTCAGAGCCGAGACATACGTCTTGTTCAGGGCCTTTGCGTCTGACGGATGACGATGTGGTCGTCCCGCCACGATCGTGTACGCTTGTTTCGGTGGCAGGGGATGAGCCGTTTGACGGCGACGGCATTGCTGACCAAATAAGCTCACTGATATTTAGCCACGGTATTTCAGTTGCTCGAGGTCTTGTCACTGTCACTGCTGGACGCACAAACGTGCTGCTCACTAACTTCAGCACTGAGCGCCGACATCTCCCAAAGGGTACAGCCGTCGCTTACTTTGACACTACTGCGGAAATCCAAGGCAGTTTATCGGCCCTAGACGAAGCACCTCAAGAAGAATCACTACCTAATCTTGACGTTGGTACTACGTTGTCAAGGGACGAACGAACGAGACTTCTTGAGCTGCTAGCCGAATTCAAGGACTGCTTTTCATCGACATCACGGGTCGGTCGAACGCCGCTAACAAAGCATCGAATAATTACCCACGACGCAGCAAGGCCTATACACCAGAGTCCTTATCGTGTGGCTCCAAAGGAACGGGAAGTGATACAACAACAAGTCGCTAAAATGCTTGAAGATGATGTGATTCAGCCATCACAGAGCCCGTGGGCATCGCCTGTAGTATC